AATAGATGTGTGATTTAGGACATGAATATCATAAATAAATCAATTAACTATTCTTTATTTAGTATCTGTCTATCTCTTATATTATAATAATCCTTTTTTGTTAAATGATCGAATTTACTGTAGATAGATATATATTAGTAAGATAGATACATAATAAATGAGAAATTAGTTGGGGGCTGTTATTATCCTAGTGAAGATTTAATTATGAGGCGATCAAACCAAAACGTGACATTCATGGTTGAAATCACTAACTTGTAGTCTGAGTCATGTTGGCTGGTATATGCAGACTATTTGATTGGGGTCTACGTGACTATCTTAACCAATGGTTGAGGATTCTGGGTGACATAGCTCAGAATCGATCACAATGTCGTATGTGTATACACTCTTTGTCTTCACAATTGATTGATCACTGTGTGGTGATAATTGTCATGTGTGTCAAGTCCTCCTTAGCGCAGATCGAATCCTGTTGAGCCCAAAACCCGGGTCCAGGGTTTCCTGTTGACTACCTCCAACCACCACCTTATCTCAACATAGTGCACGCAATATCGAATCACCTTGACTAGTGGCCACATTGCAACTTGATCGATAGCATTCGATCTGCACTAAGAAGGACTTGACACACATAACATTGATCACCACCAATTGATCAATCAATTGTGATTAAATCTCAGTCCTACAGATGGTCGGTCGCGGCCCGGATAACTCAATGGTAACGTCTCTGACTGTGAAGCTCAGTGACACGAGATGGAATCCGTCAAGGAGTACCAGTTCCCTCAAGATTACAGGTACATCTTACTGACGAGTGCATAGTAGCACGAAACCTGGGTCCAGTATTTCCTGTTGATTACCTCCAACTACCATCTAACACTTTGTCTTCCTTTAAACTAAGAGATTAAAATCACTTCATATCTTTCATTCTACCAACTAATTCTTTCTTCTTGTATTATAACCTTATATGCAATCTTTCTTTTATATATTACCACCACTGAATTAACTACTTCTATGAATCGGGTTTTCATCTTGTTGTGCTAATGTGGTGAGGTATGGCAACTTGGACTGACGCATATATGTGCCTGGTTCTACGTTGTAGCTGACTGACTGAACTTCTGAGAGCTATTAATGAATTTATATATATATATATATATATATATATATATATATATATATTCTTGTATATTCATATTTCTCTTATTATAAGCTTCATTTTAATCTATAGATCATCATTATTCGATTTACTATTCTTAAGTTATGTTCAGTTTATTAATTACCGTCACCCCACATTCACAGTCACTTTTTGGCTTGATCTTGTATCGATGTTATTTCCTATTTTATGGTGTGATGTAGTCTTTTTGGCTGATATATAAACCAAGTATGTTTGAGATACATGAATTGCATACTAGAAGCTGTTATTGGCGTTCTGGACTCAAGTGGATGGGCTAGGCGAACAAAAGACCAATAAGAACGGTAGGCCGCTCATATCGACTGAACGTCATTGGTTTAGTACAGTAATAAGATTGAATGAGTCGTATTTCGATTGGCAAATAAATCACGTAATAAAAAGACGGGTTTAAAGACACAACAGGGACGACTGTTTGTGTTACAGACCATCTTAGTAAAATATAAGAAATATACATCATATACTTCATTTGTAAAATTTTTTCATTTGTCCTTCATATTCTGTATGATTTATCCAATTCATAATTCATTTCTATTTTCTCTTCTATTCTCTTCAATTTGATCTTCTTGGCCTTTTATTGCTAAGTTTTTTCATTTTCAGTTGATGTTACATACTACTTATGTCTATTGACGAACATAAGTAGTATACATCGCAGAAATAGTTTGTTGAAACTTACCATTGTGATATCATATGATTCAAGCTTAGGTCAATGGTATACCTTTGAGATCAAACTAATCAGGATTGAAAAAGTGACTTTATGGTTTTTACACGAAATTCAGTAAAATTACCTTGTAAGTGTAAATCTGAAAACTTTTAAAATGATAATAAGAAATGATGTATGATAGTATTAAACTTCATGATGCATACACCTGGCTTCGTGCTGAACTGTATGTATCCTGGCTTAGTGGTAATTACTCTAGACTTCAGTGGTTGAATATTAAACTTACTAAATTTTAGGATTTAGTCTCTATAGATAATTTACAAGCCAATTTACACTATCCCAAAATCTTGATGACATAACATTTTATGATTGAACTAATCAGACAATGACTCTTGTATTTTTTTTGAGTGAAATTTATACAATACTCAGAGCAATTAGACATTATAATTGATGTTAATGAGTGATTCAAATCCCTAAGCTTTATCTTAAACACCTAACCCTAGTTAGAAACAATACCACGAATGCACACACAACAGACTATGAATGAAGCAATGATTGTTGTACAATCTTGCTATGATGAAAGATGTTTTGGCTGGAGATATGGTTGACTTTCACCAAACAAACGATAACTCATCTCGAATTCTTTCCACAAGTATGAAACGAGATCAGTTAGAATGTTTATCTTCAAACACTTTATTGACTTCTAAAACACAGCTAACTAACAACCGTATTTCACTGATGTTCACAAAATCTATTCGAGTTGGACAACTTGTGATCATTTGAAGCTTCATAAAACAACAGAACATTTCATCAAACATCGGATGAAATTAAAAGTCCGTTTACAAATGACCGATTCCCCATCTCTCTATCTATATCCATAAGTACAAGTTTATATGTCATCATTTCTTTTTTCGATCTAGAAACAGAGTAGCCTATTTATGAATAATAGAATGAAGTAAAATCGGTTTGCGATTTGCAATATTAGTGTTCCTTTTTTCCATGGACTATCCATTAATAAATGGATTTTTTTCTGAATGGTTAAAAGTAACTAGCTAACTAACTAATTTACTTACTTGTTCCTGTTACTCCCAACGGAGCATAGGCCGCCGACCAGCATTCTCCAAACCACTCTGTCCTAGGCCTTCTTTTCTAGTTCTATCCAATTGTTGTTCATTTTTCTCATATCTGTCTCCATTTCTCGGGGTAATGTTTTCTTTGGTCTTCCTCTTCTCTTTTCGCCTTCAGGATTCCATGTGAAGACTTGCCTTGTGACACAGTTGGGTGCTCTCCTCAATGTGTGTCCTATCCACTTCCAGCACTTCTTCCTTATTTCTTCCTCCACTGGAATTTGGTTTGTTCTCTCCCACAGTAGGTTGTTGCTGATAGTGTCTGGACAACTCCGCCTGGAGCTCATCTGGGGTTACTGTCTGTCCCAAGCCCGGATAAACGAGGAGGGTTGGGCATGGGGTTAGCGACCCCATCCCGTAGAAAACCAACTTGCTAAAAAAAACGCTAACCACAAAAAATTATTTAAACCATTAAAATTCTGCCTTAGGAGTCAGAAGGTCTTCATTTAGAAGAGTTATGACGCCTCATGATGAAAGCCGAGTTCCTTCGGAAGTCACGAGGCTCATGCCCTTTTGACAACCATAGCAACCATTTATTTAGGTACATGGAATGCTCTTACAATGTGGGAAACTGGGATAGTCTTCCAAATTGCTGCCGAAATAAAGAAATACAACCTTGAGGTGCTTGGGAATGGTTAAGAACTTTTTGGAAATTGATTGCAGTTGTTTTAAATTCATCCCTAACATATAGTTTTATACAAATTGGTACCTGATATTTAAAAGTGAATAATCTCTAATGGATAATGATAGAATATGACAATTGATCTAAACTAGTTCAATTTTTTGATCTTATAGGTTTAGATAGATTGAAACACAAAATCAATAATGTGTCTTATATCAAGGTACACATGATTATTGATATTCATTAAAACGATACATCTAAAACTTCTATAAATCTTTTTTTAGGTCAAATAGTTTCGTATTACAGGAAGCTGTTGTCAATTTCTCTCTCTTATTATCTAAATTGAATATGTGAATTAGTTACCAGATGGTAAATAATTACTGGGATGTAATCTTAACTACTGATCCATAGTCTATCATCTAATGCATGTACTATATCTACTAAAGCAAATGATATAACGTTACGTTAAACTTTGATTTGATATTAGTTTATTAATTCAGTAGCCAAGAATCTATGAATTTAAAACTGTACAGCTTCATAATGGTGATTATGATATAAACCAATTTCTTAATTTTAAATGGATTAATTTGTATATGGTAAATTCTGAATAAATAATTTTTTGTGAGAAAAGTCCACGAGTGAACTCGAGGAAACTTGAACAAGCTCAGAAAGAGCCGAATATATTCCATCCAATCATCTTTTGGAAAAATATTCCAGAATTTCTACGTGTAGCTTCCCTATTGGACAGATGCTAATAACCCCCTGTGTGTGTGTGTGTGTGTGTGAATTGATTAACTACAATGAGAATTTCGTTTTTACTCAGAACTATAAATACCTGACAGTTTTGTATCATAACTGACAGTATTTGGAATAACATTCCTTTCATTTGTCTTCTATCTTCTCATTTTCAACTTGACAGTGTTCTAGCGTTCGACTGCTCAAATTATATGCGACATATTTCGAATCTAAACTCTAGATATAACATTTTTATTCATTGAAAGTAAGAGAGAGTGGTGTTGAGTCGACTTTTGAAAAACTTTAACGGAGCCTCCAGAGGCCCAAAAGGAACCGAAGAGTCCTAGCCAATCAGAGCATGATGGGGCATTCTAGAATTCCAACGTGGCGTGCTACTATTGTTCAGTAGCATAATATATCGCTAACGGATTGGTCGAAATATGATGTTCATTTAACAAACGTTAACATCTATAAATACCCATGTTTTCTGTACAATAACGAGCCTTGGAGTAAAGTGTCTCTCTCATACTTTTGCGTTTTCTTTCTGGTGTTCAGGTCTCTGTATAGTTCTAGCGTGCGAGTTATCAGAATAGATTAGGAACGATTATAGCGTCCAATCGACAAGGCTTAACAAGTGGGCTAATTTCACTTATATCTTTTATGCCTTTTTTTCAGCAGACAAAACAAAAATTTCACTTTCAGAAGATGATGAAAAAGAAACTGGATTTATTGAATTGATTAGTAAATCTTTACCACCTTGTAAATTAATCCAAGGACAACAACAACAACAACAGAATGAATCTATCATTGAACTAAATTCAGATAAGGAATTAGAATCAATAATTCAATTAATGAATGAAACATTCCAAGATAATCACTTATTTAATTCAATACAAAATAAAATGAATCCATATGGTAAACAATACACTTCAAAGGATACATGTAAACAGTTGAATGTTACCATGAATAATAATAATAATAATAATAATAATAATCACCTAATGAAACAAACACGAACATTTCTATCAAAACCATATCAACAAGAAAGTCAATTCATCAGAAACAATCAACCATATTTTAAACAAACGAATGAACAAGAACAATATGATCATATTAATACTAATTATTATTATTATTATGATGATGATGATGAAGATGATCAGTTTTATCCAAGTAGTAATTGTCAAAATGAACAAGATGAACAATGGAATGATACAATCGATCATGACTGTAATAAGTCAAATATAAGAGAAGTACATTTAGAAAAAGAAAAAGAAAAAGAAGAAGAAGAAGAAGAAGAACAGTTACTAAGTGATTTATTTTTCATAAGTAATTAACTATTTATATAATTTTTTAAAAAAAGCTTCGAGTAGGAACGACATATGTGTGTATGTTTTCTTTTACTCGTTTTGTTTCCAATACTTATTGAATAAAAAGAAGAAAAAAAAACAACAAAGAAAATGATTATGATAATTTTTCCATTTGATTTGTAAATCATAAGTCAAAGTATATCATACGATTAAAATGTCACAACAATAAACAGTGTGAAGCCATGATCAGTGGTATCCTGTTAAGTTCGTTTGTCTCTGATTGTTGTGCCGGAAAAGCAGCCGCTGATCACTTATACTCGAAACGAGGGACCCCTGCAATTCCCACGATGCAAAAGTAAGAACAAAAGACTGGTATAAGTGATGATTTATTAGCCCCAAAACACGACAACGAACGATGATCAAAATAGTCTGAAATACACTGGTTTATATATTGATTGTACATCCATTTTGATTAATAATTAGGATTACATCACATACTTAGTTATAACAAATCACTTACTGAGCATACATAGTTCATGCCAATGGAATACAAGAATATCGTTTATTATACAGAAGAGAATATCATACGACAAAAGAAAACAATTACTACAGTAAATGATTATCACATTGAATTAGAAGGGAAGTCATGTTGAACCAAAACTCATAATGGGTAAATCAATCGAGAAATTGATTTTTCTTTCCATCATATCACATCCACTCGGTATCAGGTAGTGACACGTATCTTATTTATTTATTATTATTATTATTTGAACACACAGATATTGGTACAAGGGGCGCACCCAATACATACGCGCCACACAAATCTCATTTGATTTGTGTGAGAGCTGGGATACTGCCCGGGTGCCCAAACCGAAGCAGGTGGTTTTCTAAGGAGGACACACCCGGAGCCTTCGACCTGAAGGTCTGATCCATAAGGCAGTGGAGCATCATAAGGAGATGCAGTCCCACGTTAGCCGGTGACCAACGGTTGGTTCATACGCCATTTGTTCCCTCAGGATTCTGAAGCTTATGTGCACCATTGGTTTGGAATAATGGTTTTCCAACTCCCCTAGGTAGACTCTCCATGTCCACCAACCCGGTTAAAGCTCCTATCGGACATTCACTTTTCGTCCTCTCAATTTAATAAACAACACCCGTGGTTTGAGAAGGCAGTGAGTTGGACTTCCCTGGCAGAGGCTGTATACGCTTGGCCATGTAAGAGCATTTCAAGTGGGAGAGCTGACTCTCCCACACTCGGCCGTACCAGGGCATTTGTGGACAGAATTAGGTATCTACTTCAGACAATCGGTGAATGATTGCGCAAGATCATGGATTGATTAAAGTTGACATCAACACTGTCGGATACTGACTCAATGATCTAGAGGTGAAGCATTTGAGCGCGAGACTAAAGGTTCATAGTTTAAGGATTGAGTGAGAGGTCATAGATGTGCACTGATGAGGAGTTACATAGTAGAATGAAACGGCTATCCAGTGCTTAGATCGACTTATGAATTGAACTATTAAGATAATGATTATTTCAATATAATCCTTTTATTTCACTGTATATGTGTGAGAATAATCATTCTTTTTCAATGTTCAATAAAAGTTCAGTATCGTGCTTTTTTAAAAAATCCATCCATTAAATGGATAAGTGTTGGATGTAAGAACGTGATTTTCACTGGAAATTTGATTGCAATTACCTAAAACTGCTCATATATGTGGATGTGTCGCTCAACTCCGTGAATTACTTGAAGTTAGACATTAACACCATTGGATTCCAGACAGCTCAGTGGTCTAGAGGTTAAGTGTTCGCTCGCGAGACTGATATGTTCTGGGTTGGAATCTCGTGTGGCGGGACCGTGGACGCTCACTGTTGAGGAGTTTCACAGCAGGACGAAACGGCTATCCAGTGCTTCCAAGTTTTCCATTATGATCTAGCTTCAATTGACTCAATTGATCTCAACTATTAAAATTACTAATGACATCCACAAAAATCCCTTCTTATATTGAATTGTTAATCAGTTGAGAAGAGAAAAATTCAATCAAGATAGTTGATAAATTGAATAATCTATTAACTCTAAGCTAATAAACTTTGTCATAATCTTATATACCATTTTGTTGGAGGTGGGGGTGAGGGTGGGGGGTGGACTAAGTGAAATCCAAAAAACTAACATTGAAATCTTGATTAACTTCTATAGAGACAAGTATTTGATAAGGAATTACCCTAAATAAGTTAAAACACTATGTTATTTAATAATAATCAATCAATTAGAGGTAAATTCAAAAGAATCTTGTTACGTCATGTTTATAATTCTGAACATCAATTGAATTTAATAATCGATAAATTGCTTGCAAAACATTAGATTACTAGGGAATTGAGGTTGGACTTCGAACTAGGATTACAATTGAGTTTCGATTTGGTTTAAAATTAAGAGTATGATTCAAGTTAATATTAAGTATAGAATAAAGAATAATGTAACGGATAAACTAATCCAAAATTCTAACCGTCAACATCATTTTTAAGCCACACTCTAGCGATTAGGTACCTAGAAATGCTCAATAACCCTGTAGTGATCATATATGTATATTCTTCATGACCTGTTTAATTTCACATTATAACTTATTGATTCATAATTACAGCTTCCAGATTGGCAAAAACATATTAGACCCTCCAGGTGATCCGGTAATATATATTAGCTTTTTTTCCCGTGACCATTGTTGCTACATTGATGTGGTGATTGGGCTTGTCAGTCGGGATGAACCAATAGAGCTATACTGGCCGGAACAATTGTTCCTCAAGATCCTAACAATTACTGAGATTAATCACAAAAAGGTCGTGTGTGACCGACCTCAAGCAGTTGTCCCACGAGCACTGCAGTCACGATCTCAGGTTAATAAGACCACCTCTAATCCACTTTCCTTTTAAGGTACCTCCAGAAGAACTTTTCCACGGTGTGGTTAACCGGGAAGTGATAACCGCCCTCATACGGCTAATAGCACTCAAGACCACTGTACTCATAACCAACCTCACTCTTCAGTTCTTATTATTCCTCCTAGGTCGACTTTCAACTCTAAACTTCCTCTTTTGACTCCCCCCTCAAATGTCACCATGACCAAGGATTCTAGTGCGCGAAACAATGTCTCAAGTCTACTGAGACCTCGCTCCAAACTACACATTGGAAAGGCTCAATCGAAGACTTGAACTCGTTCTGGATTACATGTTTAGACTCTGATCATGCTCTAACACGAACACGCATTTGCTTTCACCTCACTGAACGCAGAAAACCACATTAAGACCCATTAGAGTGAAACTCAGCGATGAGAAAGCCAAAGGTAAATTCCATGAACAGCTGAGGTCGCACCCAAGCAATTCTGAAAACCAGGCTGACCCAGATGTTGCTTGAAAAGATATACAAACAGTTGTAGAAACAGCACCCACATCTACTAGTGATTTGAATCAAAGGGTTACGAAAAATCAGTGCATTTCTAAGTCCATTGAACGCGTAGATTCACGTAAACTCATCACCCATCATGCTCCAAGCACGATGAAGAGCGAAAACAAATCACATCTACCTAAACCAAAAGTTACAGAACAATAGTGAGCAGTGGTGAGCAACGAAAGCAAAAAAGATGGAAAAGACAGTGGCTTCACGTAACACTGTACAGCTTTTCAGACTAATAAAATTAAACCGGAATTAAAAAGTTAAGTGTAAATGAGACGATTTCGAAAAAAGGATCACACTTATCTACTCTCAATTCAGACGGTTAGAACGATGGGAGGAACACTTTAAGAAGCAGTTCACCTGGTCTTCAGATACTCTACAACTACAACTATCCACCATTTCCAAACAGTCTGAATGGAACATTGAAATAGACACTCCGAATTTAATTAAATTTCAAAAAGCTATAACCAATCTGAAACGAGGAAGAGTAGCTGGTCCAGATGGATTAACTCCAAAAGTCTTTAAGGATGGTGGTCCAATTTTAGCGATTAGGTTGATTAACATTTTAGTTAAAATCTGAACATTGGACGTTATCTCATCTGACTGGTCACAATCACTGATCGTCCCATTATATAAGAAGGGATCAAAATCGTCCTGTGACAACCACAGAGGGATTAGTTTAAATGATATAGTATCTAAAATACGAGCCTCAATAATTATCGGACAGCTAACTAAGACTCGTGAACTGCAAACACGAGAAAATCAAGCTGACTTCAGACCCGGTTGTGGTTGCATCGAGCACACATTCACCATTCTTCAGGTTCTAGAACACAGGCATACTTATCGGCGTCCGCCAATGGTGGTCTTTCTTGACTTAAAGCAGCACTTGATTCCGTAGACCGCGAGATTCTGTGGCAGTGTCTTTCATTGAAAGGTCTACCTCAGAATTACATAAGCCTTGTGAAGGCTCTTTACTCGGACACTACCAGTCGTGTCCGAACTGATGGCGAACTGTCATCTGATTTTGCAACCTCAAGTGTTGTCGGGCAGAGCTGTCTACTATCTTAATTTCTATTTAATCTCATCATAGACGTACTGATGGAAATAACGCTGTTGTGGACTGAATTTTCGGGCATTGATGTCGTACCAGGAGGTTCACTTATCGTATTAGAATACGCAGATGACATAATCCTGTTTGGTGAAGACTGATAAAATGCAGAGTCTTCTGGTAGCACTGAGCAACAATGCCAGGATGTTCGGAATGCGCTTCTCTCCCTCGAAATCCAAGTTGTTGCTTCAGGACTGGTCTGCGTCAACACCTGAACTAAAGATAAAAAGAGTGAAGTAGTCGAACGCGTTGACAACTTCACTTATGTTGGAAGTCTGATCAGCCCTAATGGGTTGGTATCTGACGAAATCTCAGCATGGATTCGAAAAGATCGTTTGGCTTTTGCCACCTTACGTCACCTAAGGCGAAAGTGAGATATCCATCTGTCAATAAAAGGACGAGTATACTGCGCGGCAGTTCGTTCTGTTTTAATTTACGGCAGCGAAACATGGCCATTAAGAGTAGAGGATATTCGTAAGTTACTAGTATCTGATCACAGATATCTTAGAAATATTACTCGTATCTGCTGGGATCACCGGGTAAGTAATAGTGAGGTTCGACGCAGGG